GATGGAAAGGCAGGACTTAGTAGTGTGGAGCAACAAATTGCCAGTGCCGGAGGGCCCTGGTTCAAAACCCGACGAGAGTTAATTTTTAAAAATTATATTTAATTATAATAATTTTTTTTTTACATTATTGTTACATAAATGAAATATTCTTTTACTTAATAATATGATTTTTTTTTTCTAAGTGCGTAATATAATAAAAGCGTTATTACGAAAATGTTGTTCATATAATATGACCTCCCTTTAAAATTATCTTGTAATTTTTCACACTCAATCTGTTATTAAATTATAATATGTTATCATACTAAAGGAAATATTGATAGTCAAATTAGGCGGCCCCTAATGTCGTCCAATATGGTTACTTTGAAAACCTGCATTAAAAAAATGTAAAAGCTTGTTGTAAAATCTGACAGTCAGATGGATCGCCAGGGATTAGTAATATGAAGCATCAAATTGCAAGTGATGGACGACCCTGGATCGAGACCCGGCAACGGCCAATTTTTAAATAAGATATTTTAGAAAGAAAAAAAAATATTTTAGAATATAGTAGCATAAATTAAATATTCCTTGACTTAATAATATGATTTTTTTCTAAGTGCGTGATATAACAAAAGCGTTAAAATTAAGAAATTGTTGCTCATGCATTTTACATATGTATGTAACTTCATATCTCTCCTTAATATTAATCTATGATTTTCAAACTGAATCAGATTATAATATATTATATTACCATACCAAAGGGAATATTTATAGACAAGTGAGGGGTCTGATATGGAATTTCTTTAAAAGATAGTTATAAGTCAATCAGCCAGTTAGAAAGGCGGGGTTTGGTAGTATGGAGTAATAAATTGATAGTGTCGGAAACCCGACAAACGTAAATTTTTAAAAATTATATTTAATAAAAATATTTTTTTATATTTATTTTGCTTAATTGTTAGATAAATAAAAAATTTGACTTTATTTCCTAAGTTCGAAAAATAAATAAGCTTAAAATTTAAGAAATTGTTGCTCATATACCATACGTATATATATGGCCCCGTATCTTCCATTAGTATAAACATATAATTTTCAAACTCGGTCAAATATTAGATAATGATATGTAATATTACCACACTAAAAGGAAATAATTTTTAAAAAATTAGGGGGTTCACAATGTGGCCCAATATGGTTACAATATTAGATTATAATATTTTATATTACAATACCAAATGAAATGATTATAGACAAATTAGGAGGCCTGCAATATTGTCCAATATGGTTATTTTAAATGGTAGAATATTTATCTTAGATTAATAATTTTTTTAATATTTTTTTTACAATATTTTAACATGAATAAAATATTCCTTTACTATATTTTTCTTTTCGAAATGCTTAATATAATAAAAGCTTTAAAATTTAGAAATTGTTGGTCATATACTGTTCGTAAATATGGTCCTATGTCTCCCCTTAATATTAACCATAAATTTTCGAACTCCATCAGATATTAGATAATAATATTTAACATTACCATACCAAAGGAAAAAATTCTAGACAAATTAGGGGGCCACAATGTGGCCCAATAAAGTTATATTGACCAACAGCAGAAATTACTTAAACAGCTCAGTCAATAAGTCAGTCAGCCAGATGTAGGGCTTAATAATATGAAACAACAAATTACTCGCATCGGAGGACCTTGATTTGATTCCCGGGGAGGACCTATTTTTTAAAATTATATTGAAGATTAGTTTTTTTTTTTTTTTTTTTTTTTTTTTTTTTTTTTTTTTTTTTTTTTTTTTNAATAAAATATTTCTTTACCTCCCATATCTCCCCTTAATATAAATTTAAAATTTTCAAACTCGAACAGATATTAGATAATAATATATGATATTACTATACTAAAGGAAATAATTATAGACAATGTGGTTACTTTGACGAACTGCAGAAATTATTAAAAAAGCTTGTTGCCAGTCGGTCAGTCAGATGGAAAGCCAGGGTTTAGCAGTACGGCACAACAAATTGCTAGTGCCAGAGGACCCTGGTTCAAAACCCAATGATAGTTAGTTTTTGAAAATTATATTTAATGATAATAATTTTTATTTATTTATTTTACATAATTATTACCTTAATAAAATATTCCTTTACCAATAGGATTTTTTTTTCTATGTGCGTAATATAATAAAATCATTAAAATTAAGAAATTGTTGCTCACTTACACTCCTATATCTTTCCTTAAGACACATATTAATTCTAATAATAATGCATTAAATCCTTAACGATCGGTTAAATTTCAAGAAAACGGTCATAGAAGTGCCGATTTTTTTTTGTATTTATTGTATTACGCATTTGATTAGTGCTGCAATTAGTTTAAAGTGAACTAACTGTCTACAATTACCTTAAAAATATTCTGGTACTGCCATCAGGTGTGTAAAATGAGAAATAAAATGTTTTCTGGGCAAAAGAATGAATTAGTTTTATTCTTATTGGCGCGTTACAACTGAACACTCCGGCCCGTAAATATCACGGGAGCGAGAAATAGCGGGCGAAAACTCACCCCGTCATTTTCACGGGAGTGAGAAGGAAGGGGTTAATATGCATTTAATTATGCAATATTATTATTTTTTATTTATTTATTTATTTTGGTTTCTTAAAAATTCAATGTGCATATTAAATTTTTTGCAGTAATAAAAATAGTAATAATAAATACAAGAAAGTATTATAAATTCTTATTTATAACCTTATAAGGGAAGAGAGCAAATGTATAGATCAAAAGAGAGGAGAGCAAACATATACTGAGATACCAACTTGCTCTGCTTAAGGGAAAATTATTTCTAGTGATACCAAAATTTATGTTTTAATGTTTGATCCCTAGTTTATTTAAATTTGATACAAACTATTTTTTTCCTCCTCTACATATATATAATTCGAAAGTTCATGTGAAACACAAATTCGTTCCAGTTATCTCGTGATAAACATTTTAAATATTACCAAAATATGACTTTATTTAAATACTAAAGAGAATGATTGCTTACATTCAACAAAGAAAAATCCTTGTTCACTTCGTTGTTCATTTTAAATAGATGAAATATGTATAAAAGCCCAGAAGCTGTAACAGTCCTATCAAAATAAGATTATAAAAATCCAAAATAGACTTTAAATATTTGATTTCCTTAAATTGAATTTTGAATAAACAAGCAGAATTTTTTTTATATGAGCTTAAGCACCTAACAAGTTAGGAAAGTCAGCCGAAGGTACAGGCAAGTGGCAAGACATGTGATCGCCCGGGGCTTCGGATTACGGGAACGCCGAATACGAGAAATAAATTTAATGTTCTCTAAAATATTCATTTCTTCCTCTTTTTTTAAAATAAATAAATAAAATAAAGTATTAAATATATATTTAGCTACGGTGGCTCAGGGGATAGAGTGCTCGCCTCTCTACGAAGAGACCCAGGCAAAAGAAATAGACAGGAGAAAAAGTCCAGCTCTTCGAATACGTAACTAACACGGGGACAAGCTCGGACAACTTACAGGGTGAGCAACATGCTCAGATTTAGCAGGATTTCGTTTGAACTAAGGTCCAGTGCATGCGCATAAGAAGCAAAGTGACAGCCAGGAGGTACGTCACCTATGAACCGGTTGTTGGGCAACTTTCCATGCATGGTTTGATACGCAGTTTCATGCGTTTATTCTTTCTTTCTATGCCAAAATGTGTTAGCAGATTTAATTAATATATGTGAATGATGTAAATATAGTCTCAAAGAAATATTAACAGTGCTGTTTATGAATGGTGTAAAATTATAGAGCAAACCAACGATTTAAAAAAGAGATAGCTTTTCTTCTTCACCTCGTCCCCTCCGCAGAGGATCAAAATTGTGATGGCATGTCTTCGGATCATCCTCCGGGATGTTTCCCAGACCGTCGCCAATAGCCCATTGTGCAGCTCTAGTGCGACGTAAATTAACAACAACAACAATCTTCTTCACCTCAAACCCAGTACTAGGAGGAGAGGAAGGTTTCAAGAACCGCTACTGTTGTGCCCCTAAATGTTTTTTCCCTTTATAAACATGGACAGCATTAAATCTTGGGGAACTGGTTTACATTATGTCTATAAAAGCTATACATCTTCCCGTGCATATTCTTTGACCCAGGTTCGAATCCGACGGTGCTGGTCAATACAAATTCTGTTCCCGGCTTGCACCGACCTCAATTCTGACATAATATTCTCAGTGGTAGACGGATCATGAGTTAAAATTCCCTAGTCATTGGACAAACCACGGATGATTTTCGTGGTTTTCTCCTCCACTTAAGGCAAATATGAGTTAGTTTCATTAGAAAGTCGTCTACAAAGGCTTGTTTGTCCCAAAGTTTGTTCTACGAGTTCCCTTGTCTCTGGATTGGGCTTAAAATTACAAGGCCACGGAGTAGAACTCTGATATCCGTAAACTCAGACTTAGGTTCAGTTGTTCAACACAGGTTATGGAATAAAATGAAATACTGTTTATTTGAAAAATATATTTATATGTTTTTATTTTTTTAAATTATATATTCTCAGTTTACTTTATGGTTAAGTTTTGTAGATGCGCATTTTCCTTGTGAGAAGAAAAATAATTGGTGAAGTGAGCTCAGATCATGAAGTGACACCCAAAAGAGACTAAGCCAGCAGTTTTGGGAGGTGAGAACAGTGGGTGAAATTCTATATGTAGAATTCTTCTATGGTTAGTTATATTGGCTATGACTATTTTTTATTTTTAATTTAAAATTTTTTTTTTAAATCTTTCAAATTTATGTATGGATTGAAATGGATATACAAATATGGATATTTAAATTTAAAAAAAAAAACTTAGAAAACAAACAAAGCAAATTATTGTTATTAATTAACAAAAACAAATTAAACCGAACTCATTTAAAAATCCTTTTCTTATTAATGCGGTCTATGACGTCACATGAAAGAGCATCATATAATGACGCGTAAGTAGCTTTAGTGAGTTAATAACTTCAGTTTTTTGTACGGAGCTTAACGAAGCAAATTTAAAAAGTCTTTACGTTAAGAATCTGATGTTTTTGTTTACATGTGATAGTCATGTGATCATGAGTTTTTGAGAATCGTATGTCTTCTACAAATTTTCCTATGAAGAGTAGTAAAAATCCTTTCATCGTAAAAAAATCATGGATCAATTAGTAAAACATCGTACGAAAATGAATAATGTAAATTCTTTTAGACCACCCAGTGAAAGAACACCGCTTTTACATGCAATGGGAAATTCTCCATTAGTTCTTTCAGCTGATGTAAGTACAATTTCTCTTCATAAATTGCTTATTGTAAGAAAATGTCTTTCTATATTTCATTGCAACACCTAAAAAAAATTCCAAGAATTTTTTTTTTGTCTTTTTGTTATGTTTTGCGTTTTTAATAATTTTAATTACATTTTGACAAATTTATTTTATGAAAATCTAATCCATCTTATGTGATGTCTGGGTAGCTTAATTCTTTTTAATCATTTTGTTTGGAGGTCCAGGGGTCTGTCTAGGTTTTTCTCAGAGGTACTATATTGTGAAAATTTAGACATAATTTGTGAAAATTAAAATTAATATTAAAAAATCAGCACAAAAATATGGATTTATCGTTTCTTATGGAATAGTATTTTGTGAAGCTACCTCTTTTCCTAAAGTTGAATTTGTGACAGTACCGCTAAGCGGTGGTAAATTTGGCCTGGACAGACCCCTGAAGTCTCATTCCGTTACTGTTATATTACAATTACTAATAAGAAAAATTCTGTAATCTTTTTAGGGGGTCCTAAGAGAAACTATTACTACAATACCTATATTAATGTAGAGGGCTTCTATTTATGTCAGTGATAAAAATTTTTTTTACAAAACCAAGTAACTCCTGAAATTGTTGGGGATATTTCCGTATCCTGATCTGTCGCGCCAACTACAATCGCCAAGGTGCTAAATAGATTTTAAACTTGCAAATTTTTTAAAAGAAACATTTAGACATTTGCTCTGGGGTGGCTTCGAGTTATACCTTTCGAGTTGGTTCCATTTTGTGATGTTTTTTTTTTAAGTTTCTCGCGGGCCACTGCCTGGAAGTTGCCCAGACTTGGCGATTATTCTGCCTCAGATTACGGTACGGAAATCTCTCCAAATTGTTGCTTGGGTACCCACTGTATGCTGCTTTAGCATATACAGTTTTCATGTGAAAAGTTAGATGCTGTTATTGTATAAATATTAGTCATTTTGTCTTATGTCACCTTTGATTGTATTGTGCATTGTTTTTCCCCTACAATAATCAGGTTAGCTGGTGTTCAGGGAGATATTTCCATGTCATTGTCATTTAACACCATATGCCCTCGCCAAAGTGCCAAAAAATTTTTTATTTGTGATTATTTTAAAATATGAAGTTGTTTTTCAGGCGGTGGCCTTGACTCCCTTCACATATATGTATATATATCCCTCGAGTCTATTTACGGGTATACTCTTTAAGTTACTCTCCTTCTATAATGTTTTTTTTTTTTTTAACTTTCTTGCATGCCACCGCCCGGTTGTTGCCTGGTTAAAGAAGCATTACTAAATGGGTAAATTTAAAAGGCGAAGCGATACATTTCAGTTAGCTGGGCACAAAGGAAAAGTTGCCTAAAAATGTAAACATCTCCTAACTTTTTTTATATTTTTAATATACTAGTTATTTTTTAAACAAATGAACATTAAATAAAATAAAAAAATTTATTTAAATAAAGTAAAAAACAGTTGAATTTGCTTTTGCCCAGCTAACAGAAAAGTACCTCTTCTTGACATTAAGTTTTCTCAAATTATAATTTAGGAAAAAAAATTAATCTTAAGCTAAGTTTCTTATATGGTTTTAGGTTCTAATTAAAATTGATTAAAACAAATTATTACCAAGGTTTATTAAATTAATATTGCTTATTTTACCGGAAGAAACTGTAATTTTGTTTCATAAGATCGGTAGAAAATCTGTAATTTTATATGAGAATTTATGACTCTTAATTATTACTGATCTTTTTTAATTTAATACTGAAAATATTGAAATTTCCCCCAAAAATTTCTGTTTAAATTAAAATTTTAATTAATACTTCACTTTTCAGGTATTAAATATTATTATTATTATTTTTTTATGTTTATAAATACTATAGTATTATGTTAATTTCTTTTTCTTAGCATGGCAGTTTTGAATCTCCAATGTATAGTGAAAGTTTCAACTCAACTTATGAAAATCTTAATACAAATAGAAAAATATCAGTTGGGATGTCGAATCTTTTGTCACAGAAATATGAGGTAAGAAAAATTAGTTATTGTAGTTTGTAAATTTTAGGCACATCAATTTCTTGAACAAAATGTCTTTAGAAATTTCTTAGTTTTTTGAATGTATATGTAAAATTTTTGGTTATTCTTTAATACATTTTCAAATTATGACAAATGTAAAAACTGTTTTAATTATCTTCTTTTTTTTCATGAAATTGTTTAGTACTCCTTTATGTTTAGTGAGCATAGTTTTGATTTCCTTGTTTTTAATTAAAAAGTAATTTTTGCTTTTCAATTTCCTCTACAGAGCTTAGATTATGATATATGTGAGAATACTTTGTTTGCATCAGAACAAATTGAAGAACAAACTAAAGTAAATATATTTTTACATATTTTTCCATTCTTTATTTATTTAGTAAAAAAACTCTCCTGTATAAACTAGAGAGTATTTCATGAAATGCTTTCAGAAATTTTATAAAATTTAGCTAAGCATTGTTTGTGAAAATTTTATAATTAGTTTTAAATACCTAAAAATACCTAGTAAAAAATACCTTTGTTTTCGTTAATTTTTCAGATTTTATATTTTAAATATAATTTTATTTTCATGAAACATTAATTTATTAGAATTAATACATTGCTTTTTTTAATATCAATATTTATTGAAATATAATCATTTTATTACAATTTGAAAAAAATTTAGTAGGCAACCTTAGACATTTAGATTAATAGATTTCAGTATAATTTTTTTTCCTTTCAGATAATTCAAGGAACCACAAAAGGATGTTTACCATTTTTCCGCTGTTTGGATGTGAGTACCTTTTCTTTCGTTATCTTTTCCATAACTATAGCTTTAATAGAATTGGTTTCTGTATGTTATCATATGCATTTATTTTCTGAAGACATGTAATATATTTTGATTTCTTTTTCCGTTAGTATCTGACAAGCATGTCGATTTTAAGATGGTTTATAATCTGTATGATTGGAATTCTGACTGCATGTGTTGGTGTTATTATAACTATCTCCATTGAAGAGTTGTCAAATTTAAAATTTAAATTTATCAGAGATCGTATCCTTTAAAATTGTAAAAAAAGTGTTTCATTATTTTTTTTTCCTACAAGATTTTCACCTTATATTCATATTTATTTGTTTAAAATTCATATTATTAAAATATTAATAAAGTAAAATTGAGTGAATTAATTAATTACTTTTTCAATTTTCTTTATTTTGTCACTTATAAATTTTTTTTACATCTGTTATTTTTCCAAATTAGTTTTAAATTTATTTTCTCTGTGATATTTTTCAATTCTTCTAAAATGAAATATGATTCAAATATGTTATTTTTATCTTTAAAAAAAAGTTTTTTTCATGCGTAATTAGAAGTAGTACCACAATTGCTTTATATGTCATTAACTTATTTACACAATATAATATAGTATTGTATGTGATATTATATGTAATATTGCATTTACTTAAAAATTTTAAGATTCAAAATTATATTTGAAATTTTTGTTGAAATTGTTGTTGTTAGAACAAACATTTCTGGAGTTATAGGAGGACCACACACAGATGGACAATTTCTTAATTTTATTATATTAGAAAAAAAAAAACTGTACTAAACTTTCCTGTGCCTGAATAGTTTGCATTCTGAAAAATCTAAAAGAATTATATTGTTTTTAAAATGTATTTTCTAAACTGTCATAATTTATTTCCCAACAAGTATTAATTTCTTTTTCATTATTGAAAAACTCAATTTCATTTAAGCAGTTTCATCTTAATGATACATTTTAAAACTATCACAATAAATTATAACTTCTAAAAATATCACGTTAAAATGCTTTGTAAATTTATAATTTAATAATTTCTCCAAAAATTTTATATTATTTGATTTAAATCTTGATTAAAATCAGGCTAATTTAAATCAACAAACTCTGCTGAAAAGTATTATTTAAGCTAGTTTACCTAAAAAGTATTATATTAGAAAAATTCTAATTGAGCTTAACAATCAGACTATATTCTCTATCAAATGCAAATTTTTTTTTTAATAGTATGGGAAGAAACTTTGTTTACTATAAAACAATTACTCTCTCGCTTTTTTTTAAAATTTTTTTGTTGTTGTTGTTGACAACATTTTATAGTATTTTTGTGCATAAGTGTAATCTTGAATGAATTTCAGGACACCCTGTACAATTTCTCAAATTCTTACTAGGGAATAAACCAGAATATCTATATTAGAAAATAAAATGTTATAGTATTCAACATTGATTTTTCTTTTAAAAAAAACATTGTAAATATTTTTTTAGTTTTTCTGTATTGATATAACTCTATAAAGGTATATTATGTATTTTCTCTAACTATGATATTAGGTGTGGTTGAGTGTACCACATATAGCTGTTTAATAACACCTTATTCCTACTGGTTATTGTTTTCCATTCTACCTGTTGCTCTTGGTGCATCTTTAGTTGTTTTTGTTGCAGTAAGTATTATTAGCTTTAAAAAAATTCTCTTTCTTACATATCGAATTAAATTAAAAAAAAGTTTTTTTTTACATTTTATCTGTAGCCTGTTGCAGCTGGGAGTGGTATTCCTGTTATAAAATGTTATTTAAATGGTGTCAAAGTACCAGAAGTTGTTCGTTTGAAGACATTAATAGTTAAAGCTCTTGGGGTAACAACATCTGTTCTTGGTGGATTGGCATGTGGAAAGGTATGTATTTGTTTTATATGTATGTCAATTATTTAAGTATTTGTTGCAAATATTGAAAAAAAAAGCTTATTTAAGGAGATAAATAAGAACAATTTGGGAGAGGGGGAGTTAGATTAAATAGGTTATTGAGGTATGCAGGATAATCATACCAACATTAAGTTTTGAAATAAATTCTAAGGTCCTTTCATGGCTTCGAATATATTCCTTTCATTTTACATCAATAATATTTCAATGATTAAAAATAATTTATAATCATTTCAAATATTTTATATTATCTAGTAGTACCTAAATTGTTTTTATTTTTGCTTATTGGCTTTGTTCATGCTTCATAATGTTAGATTTTGATGATTTAAAATTTTTTTTCTTTAAGATTTAGAAAAAAGAAACTTATTTTATGCCAAAAATGTTTATACAGTATTGCCATTTATAGCTCTTTTTTCTCATAATTGCGAAATAAAGTCAATCTAGTAGTCTTTTATTTTAATTAAAAAAATTTTAAACACTCAATTCACATTGAGCATTTTTTTATCTGAAATGATATTGGTGTTATCACTTATTTGTGTTACTAGTTACTTACATTTCTTATTGTAAACTTTTTTTTTGGAAAATTAATGTGTTAATTTTTTTAAATATAATTATTGTTGTTGTTCCTAATATTTTTCCTTTAAAAAAATAAAGGTATGTCCTGAGTTTTTTATTAATATTGTTTGTATCACATTTTTATTTAAAACTCAAACCTACAACTAATCATTACATTAAAAAAAAAAATATTCTTACATTAACTATGTATTAATTTTATTATTAACTATGTATTAAATTTGTTATGAAATATGTTGCTATCAAGTATGCCTATATAGTTATACCTTAGCCATATTTTCTTTAAGTAATTTGAGAAATTATCATTTAATTCAGGATTTTATTTTAATTCAAGAAATCTTCAATTGCTGTACGTTGTTGGAATTTCGGGCATAAATTTAATTTCAACTATGCCAAAATAATTTCCACACAGTTCTTCACCTCTCTGTAGCAAATCCATGGAAATCCATTTTATCCTAATTTACCCCTCTCAGCCACTGTGGCTTTTCTTGTTCTGTTTTTCATCTTTTTTTTCTCTCTTGGCTACTGTGGTTTTGCTAGTTTTATTTCTTACTTTTATTTTCCTACTTTTTTTTGGCTACTTCGCATTTTTTTTTTAAATTTCAAATCACTTTTTTTCTTTTTAAACACTTCTGGAAAATCTTGAAAATGGACACCTATTTTTAAAGTGTGTTTTAATACATGTCGACTATTATTTGCTATTTATATATTTTTGAAGCGAACGAAATTTTTCATCAAGTAAAATTTTTTTTTAAATTTTAGGAAGGCCCAATGATACATTGTGGAGCAGTTATTGCAGCAGGAATTTCACAGGGGAAAAGTCAAACACTTCGTAAAAACTGCAAGGTAATTTTTATAGTTAATTTGTGATTATGATGCAATTTTTTACAAATGAGTTTTTGTATTTTACTATATTTTTAGGGCATTTTTATTCTTTTAATTCATTAAAAATGATAAAACATTTGTTTTACTTTTAAATGTTTTCATTTATTTAATGTCTAGTTAAGTGATTTTTTATTATAATATTTTTTTTCTCATTTCTAAAGTGAAAAGTTTATCTGTACATTACTTAATATCACTAAACTTTCAGTAATTTTTTTATTAAAAATATTTTCTTTTTAGTTAGCATAGATATTAAATGACATTCTAAGTTTAATGGCAGTTTGGTATAAATAATTATGATTGTTTTTATACAATGGTGTACCTGCAAGTGACATAGTGCACATATCTCGATCCTGATTGGTTGTTGAAACTTGGCATTTGTTTACATTAGTAACTGTTCTTTTCATTCGATTTTGAGTAAGCCAAGCCCGTGAAGTATCAATAATCTTAAGTGACACATCCTAAATGTTTTCACTGTTTATTTACGCCAGGGTTGGCAGGTTTTTGACATGTGACAGTTTTTGACAGTTTAAACCATGGTTTAAACCGTCACGTCAAAAACCTCACNACAAGATCTTTATATAGATTGTTGATATTGTTATTCAACATCTTAATTGCTTTTAAAAGTGCATATGATTTTTATTATATATAACTTTATTTTATTTTTGTCTTTTATTTAATTTTGTTCATTTTAGAATGTAGTTTGAACTCTATCTACATGATGTTTTTGATTACTGACCTAGTTTTGTACCTTCTCATTTATATCAAATAATCCCATTTAGCAAAGCATATCTTACTAGGGCCTTATTTCATCCCACATTTTTTTTAAAATCTAACTAATAACTAATTGTATTTATTATTTTACCATAATTAGTGAGATAAGTGTTAAAAATAAAATTCCAAATGTGGATTTCATTGGAAATTTAAATTAATCGCACCTTAAACTACTTTTTTGTATTTTTTTAAAGGTTTTTTTTTTGTAAGTGCAATTTTGATCATATCAATTTTTATCAAGAAAAGTGAAATCTGGTATAAAATTGTTAATATTTTGTAATTTGAAGTGTTTTTGTTTAATACAGTCTATGTTCTTCAGTACAACCTCCATTACGACGACCCTTCTATTATAAGGATCAATCCATAAAATCCTACTTTCTATGCCATCGGTTCCCAATTTTTTTCCTGGCTACGGAACCCTGAATAATCAACCTTCTTTTCGTGGAACCACAACTTCAAAAGGTTTATTGCAATTGTGAATGTTATAACCTATAAAAGATAATAAATTAAAAATATTTAATGAGAGGAACGAAGAGTTTTTATTATTAATAATTTTAAATTAGGTTTTATATCAGATAGTTGAATTTGCAGTCCTTGTGCTATATCTAGTCTAGTTATGAATTTGTTTCTGGTGTATGTACATAAGTTGAAATAATTAAAAAAAAAAAGAAGAAATATAATTTGCATCGAAATGATAACCTTAAAGAACTGCTAATAAGATAAACATTGAGAATGGTTATTAAGGAAACATATTTCTTTCTGGAGAAATTTAGTTATTTTGATTTATAATGCACAATAGAAACTACTAATGAAATGCTTTTTTAATGCTTGTTTTTTCTTAATTTGTTCCATAGATTGTTGTTAGAAACATTATATTTTCCTTTAAAAAATGCCATTTCTATTTCATTGATATTTTATTAGAAATAATTTCATAAAGGCAACCATAAGATTAAATATATTATAAATTAAAGTTTGGATCTAAATATAATCAAAGTTTTCAAAACTCATCACTGATTTTAAAAGATGCTGACTTGTGGAACCCCTTTAACCCTTCTGCAGAACCCCAGGGTTCCATAAAACACCATTTGGGAACCACTGGTTTACATAATTAAGTTACAGTTTTTATCCATAATTCTGTATGTTTAGTGATTAAAATTCATTACTAGTTGTAAAAAATATTACCCTGTGGAACCCTTTTATTTCTTTCGCAGTACCCAAGGGTTCTGTAGAACACCATTTAGTATCCACTGCTCTATGCCATTGAGCATAATATTATTTTAATGTCCGTTAGAACATCCACATTGAACACCCCCACTTCCAATATTACAATTGAAATTTAGTCAATTTGTTTTTAAAAAATTTTAAAGAAATTATTTAAACCTTCTTATCTCTTGATTTCACCATATAATAAATGTAAAACTCCTTGAATTCCTTTTGAATTAAAGAAGAGGGCCATGTTCCCCTACATTCTTATCCTAGGTGGCCGTAATTTATTTAATATTTTTGTTACGAGTTCAATGTTGATTGTATGCTTATCAAAATGCAAGTGAATAAACCAAACTTACTTTAAATATTTCATATCAGTTATGTGTAAATTTTTACTTGAGTTAGTCTCTGCGCAAGTAATAATTTTCTTTGAAAAGGTTCTCAAGGTTCGACGAAGAACACAACATCTACAACATACTAATAATGGCACAGAAACTCCCTTTCACTATGAACTTTTCCTTGAATAGCTTTTATATACTTTAAATTCCATATTCTTCTTTCTGCATTGTTGCATCTAGGCAGCTCTCACATGCCTAATATCTGTTTCCGTTCAATAATTTTTGTGTTTTTTTAAATTAAATTCTTAAATGTTGCATTAATTATTGTGTTTCTTCTGCCTTTGCCTCTCTTGAAACTATATTTATTTATTATTTTAAGTTCAGAATAATTGGATAAGATTATGATTGTAAAATTGTACACTTAAGAAATTTACCCTATGGACCCTATTATCTGTTCTATTTTATTTATATAACTAGTTCATATCTAAAGCTTTTGTGTAATAAATTAAATTTCAGATCTTTGAACAATTTAGAGAAGATCATGAGAAGAGGGATTTTGTTTCTGCTGGTGCTGCTGCAGGTGTAGCAGCTGCATTTGGAGCTCCTGTTGGTATGCTAAATATATAAATATTTAAGTTTAAACCTATTATTTAATTATGAATTATGTAATTTATATATATAATATACAGCAGAACACTGATTATCCAAAAGATGATTTACTGGGATGTCCAATTATTCAGAATGTTGAAAGACCATGTGATTTTATACCTTCTAAAAAAAAGTTTTTTTTTTCCATGAAAATGCTTCTATGTTTTCAAAATATCTGAAGGGGTAAAAAAAAAAGAGGCTTCTTTTGTGCCTTGGTGATTTTGAAAAGAATCTCAGATTCATTCTGCTCAGTTTCAATGTGGGTAGTAAATAGTTTCAAATAAGGGAACAGGTTTCTAATAAAATTATTTTTAAAAAAATCAACACTTTTAAACGTCCCATTTGTAATATGCTATAATAAGCTCTACTACAAATGCCAATCATAAGCCTAAAAAAAGTGTGAAGGGTAGTTACTTAAGAACACAGTTTCTTAAATTTGTGCAATTATCTCAATTTTTCGTTATCCGCATCAGCCTCTATCCTGATTAGTCAGGATAATTAGAGCTCTATTGTGTGTGTGCATATGTATCTACATATATATACACTACCGGTCAAAAGTTTGCGAAAATTTTGAAATCTACAAAGAAAAGATCTAAATTCAAATGTTCATAGAACTGCGAAAAATCACTCAAATTGCATGAGGATTTGATATGTTCTAAAGTGAACCCTCTACATTTAGTTACCTATGATCAAATTGCAATACTTTGTTTTTTGCGAACTGAATTCAGCTTTTCATCACGGATTGTTTTTATGGTGAAAAAAATTTTTAAGTTTGAACACTTGCCAAATTTGCAAAAAAAAAAATTTCGTACTTTCTGTTAATAGAAAATAGTTATTTGAACCGTTATATGTAAGCCCTCAAAATTTCAGATCAGTTCGATTTTTTTGACGAAGTTATAGAATTTTGAAAAACGTGTACTTTTCTCGATTTTTGAGCATTCCACATATGCGGTCTTTTGGTCTATACATCTTCTACCAAAGAGCTTTTTAACTTTAATGTTTTCTATATTTTCAAATAATTAATATTTATTATAAAACAAATACTCTTATTCATTAATGTAACTATTATTGTTTATATTTATTGTTTATATTTATTGCTTATATGTATTAGTTTTGTTGTGATATTTTTACTTTACATTAAATTAAAATAAAAAGTTATAACAATAATTACATAAATAATTCTAAAAAAATAATAACAATAGTATAAAAAATTCGCATTTTTACTAAACTATTTTATTTACAACAGGTCAAATATTTAACATATTCTTATTCGTATTTTGTAATTAAATAAATTAACATTTAAATCTTAGATTCCTCGAACCATCCA